TACTTCCTTGGAAATTAGAGCGTAAACTGTTTTCTCTGTTAATTCCCACCTCTTCCCCTGATTTTTCTTCTACATCCGTGGCTACTGTCAACACACTTTTGTTAGCAGCCCTAAGAAAGAGGTTCTCGGGTTTGTTCATCTTCTTGGCGATCAGTAGCATGTTCGGCTCCTGGGGGGTGACCTGCAGGGGTCAAGTTCATGCTCCCATGGGAACTTCTTCCGTCAGCTTCCCCTTTGACAGTCTGTAATTGTTCGCAGCGCCTCACTGTGGTAGAATCTCATGACATGCTTCGTAAGTTCATCACATTTTTAAGAGCTAAAGATCGATGCCGCGATGTCTGTGAGAGTTTAGAAGGAAGCCATACGCTGTGTCTAATGGGTGAGTAGCTGAGGCTGGGATGTGATTGTGTCCTGGGCGTCGGGAAAACCCCAAGTGGTTTGCTTTTCACCTTTCGGGAGATCAAGAGCTGTTTTTATTAATGATTAGAAGTGTTTACAATAGGAAACATGTAATCAGATAGACAGTTAAACTAGACATGTAAAGTTGAAAATCACATGGGGAATAGGTCCAACTTGGCAAACTGGTTGAGTGAGTGTAAGTGAATGTTAAATTTTAGCCCTTAGCTTCCTGGTAACCAAGGGAAAATTGAAAACGCGATGAGTGGCCTGGATAACTCTCATGTTGGGAGAAGGGAGGGCGCAGTTGGGTTGGGCTTATATTAGAGTAAGACCTGCATCATCTGTTTTACTGTTTTCATTGTAGATCAAAGGGTTTGTGGATAGAAGCATTTGAAAACTGCAGACATACATAATTCTCAGTGCCTAACATAGAGAAAGATTCTTAAGGCCAAATTTTAGGGGAGTCCTCACACAAGGCATGTTAAATAACTTTGGTTAACTTTGAATAACAGTGACTTCCCCGGAAATTCAGATATTCTTCAAAAAGGTCATTTCTTACATTAACCCTTGGTTTTAAAATAATAGAAAAATGTCATACGAGCTAAATGTCACATCCCCATGTGCCAGACATTCTACATGTTAGTCCATATAGGCTTCACATCGAGGGTGGGGATCGTTATTCCAGTCTTACAGACGAGGAGACAAGATGGGAGAGATGGGGTGAGGGTCACCCCTGGCCTGGGGCAGAGCCAGGATGGGAAGCCAGGCTGGCCTAGGTCTCGGCCCTGCACCGCCTGCAGCCCCAGCCCTGACAAGTGCCCCTCCCCGTGGAATTCTTCCCGCACAGAGACGTGGCTGCCTGAGCGCCAGGCAGAGCGCAGGCCGCGAGGTGATGAAGCGTGTCTGTCTGGACCCCGCGCCCTCAGCCTTCTCTCTTTGCAGGCAACCTCCTGCACCTGGGCTCCCTCAGCCCCAGAGTGTTGGAGGAGGAGACAGATGGGTTTGTGAGTTTGCTCACGCAGATGCTGTGCTACTGTCAGAAGTACGTGACCCAGAAGAAATCCAACCTGACCCACTGGCACCCCGTCCTTGGCTGGTTCTCCCAGTCGGTGGACTATGGGTGAGTCCCGGGGCAAAGCCCTGCCCTTCCTGCCTCCCCTGCCTCTCCCCCACCTCGCCCTTCTTTCTTCATTTTAGCTTATGTTGTTTGTTTCTTATTATAAAAGTCACATATAGTCATTGTATGAGTATAGGTAAGAACACAAGGGAATAAAAATCATCTCCTAAGACAACCTGTGTGCACTTCCGTTCAGTCTTTTTCCTACCAGTTTTTTCACAAAAATGGGATTGTATTAATTTGTATTTTGTTCATTTAGTAAATTATGAA